ACGAAAGCTTCCACTTTAATATACGTAACACGAAACATTTTGCCTACACGCAATGTACTCATTATACTCAGTACTCACTGTTGTATTGAGACGTGTCTTCCTTCACTGGATTCTTGCGCTGTCACGCCATAATTTGTAAAACTAATAAAACAATAAAATAATAGATGAGATTATTCAAAAGAAATTTCGTTCAATGAAATAGTAAATCATTTAAATTTCGTCAAGGGCAGGAAGCGCCTGTTTTAAAATGGAAGCATGCTTACCTGTGCGCAGGTTCACTCAGTGGGTTCAGCCCGCAAGTGTTCAAAATGGCCGGCGACCAAGAGTGATATTCAGAATGTCTGCAGCAAATCGCGTCGCTCGTGGCTCGATTAAAATCCCCTGGAATAAGTTTGGTTATGATCGATTGCCAGAGAGATTTTCCAGGTCCTTGCCAGGCTCTAAGAGAAAGAAAAAGCCACGAACACATAAAGAATGGCCGGTTGTCAGAGGCGATTTGGTGAATATTAAATTTTAGTTTTAATTGATAAATTATTATCATTTATAGAGGATACACCTTTTCAGGGTTCGCGACGCCATCTCACCGACCGAGGCAAACACAATGGTGAAACCACTTGCCTCGTCCCAAAGGAGAATACTTGTCTTATTCCTTTCTGTCTACCTAGGATCATGGCATTGTTGCAACAATGTTGCTCTAATTAGTTTGCCCCACTTGGCAAGATGGAGTCGCAACCCCCCAAAACGGTGTATAAAGTCAAGATAGTATATGCTTCTGATGTTTTTGATTGCTATTCGGTTCTAAGTAAATAAATCCAATCCCAAAACACATTCACAACCAGGCCAATGATTCAGTCCCGCTATGCAAATATTGCCATGTTTATAAACTATCAACACAGTCAATTTCTAAAGAAATGAATAATGATCAGTTGAAATTTGCATAGCGCAACCAAATCGTACACCACTGTTCACAACACAATGTTTTGCTGAACCGCAGTTGTATAGTATTTACAGTATCGCACCTTGTATACATTTTCAGGTTCAGATCCTGAGTGGGAAAGATAAAGGAAAACAAGGAAAAGTAAAAGATGTCATCAGATCAAAAAATACAATTATTGTAGCAGGCTTAAATACTGTAAGAAAACAAAATATATTCTGGTTAAACACTCTTCTCAACAAAAATGGTACTTAGCTATCACACAACAGGTTTTGAAATGATCTGGAACCTAGGTTCATTCCTATGCTTCCTTTACAGGTTCTCACTGCACCATGGGAAGGTATATGGAGGAGGCATGAAACCAATCTGGCTTTAGTTAGCATGTTACTAACAGTTCAAATACGATTCTTTGCTTCAATCTGGATTTATACAAGTTTTGACAGCATCTGCATACCCCCAGCCCCCCCCCCCAGCTCATAATACACTTTATAATATAGCATTTGTAAATTCTGAACGCTGATTGGCTAAGAGCCGTGTTGATATAACTCAATGTCAACACGGGGAAATTTTCCGCCGCTTGTAAACAGGGAAATTTTTCTTATCCTTCGGGCTTTTGACATTGCTATATTATAAAAAAAATATAAAACATTTTTTCCGTATTGATATATAGTTATATCAACACTCGTGGAAGTTGGGAAAACTCGAAATTGTATGAAAACACTCCGCCCTTCGGGCGTCGTGTTTCCATACAATTTCTCGTTTTCCCAATTTCCACTCGTGTTGATATAACTGTATATCAACACGGAAAATGTTTTATATTTGTTAAATATCAGCTTAGGTGTGCTCCTCGACACCCACTTCGCTCACATGTATAATCAACATGCTTCATTACCTTTGCTCCATTGCCATTTATCAGAACAGTAGTAACAAGTCACTGAAATAAACTTCTCAACATAGGAAATTCAAAAGTTAGATGCAACAGAAGCCACACATGGTACTTATATAAGGATGGAAGAACCCTTACCTTATACAGATGTCATCTTAGTGGACCCTTCTGACAAGTAAGTTTCAATGACCGGAACCAAGGTAGAGTGGAACCCCCTCTCCCTACTCCTAACCCTCCTGGTAAGGGGAATCAAGTGTGCAGGGCTTAAAATAACAGCCAAGCATTTGATCAATGATTGGGGTTTTCAGAAGCAGGGTTTTCAATCAGAAAAAGAAGGGAGAGTATCCTATGTTTACCTAATAGTTCAACTGTACTGTACTTATTTTCTCCCAATGCAGGCAGCCAACGACGGTGAGTTTTCGCTATACAGAACTTGGTGAGAGGGTGCGTGTGTCAGACAGAACAGGAAGGATAATTCCTAAACCACCTTGGGAGAGACGGGACTGGAAGGAACGCTCTGTTTTGAAAGGTACAGTATAAATAAGCTGGTTTTACATTTGGTTTTTGGTGTTGCCAGCATAAAAATAAGTAATTTTAATTATTTTCATTATGTGTAGTAGTTTGGTGGAAAATAAATATAATTGAAAGGTGTGGGCTTAATTTCCTTGCTGAGAACTTCTATCATATTTTGCAGATGGTCCTGAGGACACGGTTCCCGCGAGTGCAACACGCAGTACCTACCTACCTTCCTTACTTCATTTTCACGAAGAGATAATGTTAATACATGGCATCCAGCCTTCGGTCCCGAAAACCAAACCTTCGTTACGCGATCTTATTATAAAAGAACTTGAAGAAAAACCGCCTCCAACTGAACTCATAGAATCTGTTCCTGAACCTGGACTATTCATGAGAATATACCTAGGCATGCAAGGCTTTTTCGGTACTTTCTTTAGAAGATAGTGTAACAATATGAAATAAAACGAGGTCATTTAAATCACAGAATAAATTTTTTTCATGTAGATTTATTATTAACGAGTGTAGTTCAGATAAAAATAATCGATATTTAGCTAAAACTTACATTGGTTTGAGCAGACTAAAAGCAAGCATCAATAATGAAAAGAGGCATAAAAACTCAAAAACTGTTTTAAAATAGTTGGTAATGCAAGTCTCAGATGGTCTGTTTATTTTAAAACAAATTTCCGTGTCTTAAGCCCATTTTCGAATTTCTTCGCGCGAAGCGAAAAACAAATCTTGGCAATGTGATTGGTCAGCGAAAAAGTTTCTACTTTTTTACTGTTCGCGCGAACAAATTCGCCTTGTGGAAAATGGGCTTTAGTTTGGACTTGAGCAAAATCTCGCTTCTCGCCGCTGAACATGTCTTTGTTGCTGTTGTAGGCAAAAATCGACATTACGTTTCACTTAGAGTAGACTTTTCATACTTCCAAAACGAAGGTTCTCTTCTTTCCGGTATTTCAACAACATCCTTCAAAACGCACTTCCGGAAACTTCCGACTATGTTACAGTAATGATTTCACTTGCTCAAAGTTACCTTCAGTACTTCTCACGTATGGTTTTTCTGACAAGATGATAAGCTTACGTGCTGAGAGCTCTGTATTGATTGAATATATTAAGAATGTGATGATCCACATCGGAGGTGAAAAGGTGTGTATCCAAAGTTGAAATATACGGCTTGATTTCACGATGGTACTGAAACAAATGGACAATGTATATTAACATAAGACGTTTATCGTTGACTTACTACCTTTATTTATACTGGATAGCTTTATCAGTTCTAAACTATTCTTCCTAGAGGTCCAGTAAGGATAATCTCTTATTGATCCAGTGTTACTACAGGAGGAAATCTAAACTACTGTAACTTTATTTATACTGGATAACTTTATCAGTTCTAAACTATTCTTCCTAGAGGTCCAGTAAGAGTCACCTCTTATTGATCCAGTGTTACTAGAGGAAGAAAACTAAACTAACTTTATTTATACTGGATTATACAATTACTTTATGGTTTCCGTGTTTGGATGGCCTGATCCAAACGCGCGGGAATGTTGCGAGAGTTAAGAAAAGCGAGCGAAATCACGAGCCGAAGGCGAGTGATTTTGCCCGCTTTTCTTAACTCGAGCAACATTCCCAAGTGTTTGGATCAGTCCATCCAAACACGGAAACCATAAAGTAATTGTTTTATAAAATAACAACAACACGGTAGTCTTCCGTGTTTGGATGGCCTGATCCAAACACGGCTTTCGACCAATCAGAATACGCGTTATATACATGTTATTTTATAAAGCTCTATCAGTTCTAAACTATTCTTCCTAGAGGTCCAGTAAGGATAATCTCTTATTGATCCAGTGTTACTACAGGAGGAAACCTAAACTAACTTTATTTATACTAGATAGCTCTATCAGTTCTGAACTGTTCTTCCTGGAGGTCCAGTAAGGATCATCTCTTATTGATTCAGTGTTACTATAGAGGAAACCTAAACTAACTTTATTTATACTCCTTACCGTGTAGAAAACTTCTCGTAATCTGTCTAAAATCGCGATAAAAGTTGGTGAGTTGATTTCCTGTTGTTGTTCCTCACATCGCGCTATGTGTTGATTGAGCATCATTACAAATCGCTAGGAATATGAAAGAAACATATACAGTAGTAAGTCTTCCGGGACACAAGTTGGTTATTGACTTGAGGAATAGTCACATTTGTAGGAGCAAGGAGATATAAACATCTCTCAATCTCAATTTACCTCCAAATACAAGACTACTACATATAATGAAAAGATTCACCATCCACAGCAAGATAATGCTTAACCAAAACCAGATATAAACAGAATTTTGTCGTACCTGGAAGAGAACTATAAAGACCTGTTTCTGCTCATCCTGCATGGGCTCAAGTTGATCTGTGTGTCCTTGCACTTCTTGTCGTTTTATTTCAATTTCTTCTATATCGGTCACGCCACTTTCAGACTTTTCTTCATTCTGTTTCTTGTGTTTGTCTTCCAGTCTTTCCAACTTAATCCGTTCCTTCTCCAAATCTGCCTTGATCTAAAATTGCAAATTTTGTTAGATCCTTCAAAGCGGCTCAGTCTTCTCTATAATGATCTAGTTTTACTGCAGGAGAAAACAAGATGAAATAATAATCAAACACATGTACAGGTTCTGTATATTGCAGGAAATTATAGTAGTTATTGTACTCTGGTCACAGAGGTAAATGGTACAAGTACTACAGTAGCTGCTGTGCCAGCCGGGCTCAGGTTTCAAAGCTTACGCAAAGACTTAATACTCTCAGAATAATTATAATACCTTTTTTGTTTGTTTTGTAGCTTTCCTTAGTACAGAATGAAGTATCTCCCACATATACGACCTAATAATTGACCAAAAAATAGTTTAATTAAAATTTAAGAGTGACTTTGCAACTATTCCTGAATGACGTTACAAGAATGGGGTTAGGGTTGTCAGGACGAGAGTTGTTTGGGTAGCCAGGTTCATTTAAATTGCGGTTGTTAATACGGAAATGAACTCAAAATTTAGCCCCATGTTCTGTTCTCAAGCATTGGCATTTACTGTACCTGTGAAAATCATTCGCCATTTCTTTGGAAAAAAGCCAGTTGATAAATGAACCGCTGTGAACGATCTGCATTCTGATCAATCTGTCCGTCACAATGTGGATCATCTGAAACATCGAAGACGACTTTCAATCAAGTATAAAATACGTCAGTTTATAATTAGAGTAGGGAGTTGTCTTTAAACACTAAGGGGCTGTTTATATGGTCCCGCTTACCCAAGATTCAATTCAATCAAGTGTGAAGTATTTTGAGCAATTGAAATAAGTCGCACTTCATGGTCTAACAAAAATTCTTGCTACAAATTGTATGAAATTTCATGTTTTAAACAAAAAAAACAAATGTTGTCTAATGCTATTGACCTCCTCCACAAGAGGAAAGAGCCTGGGAACGAGGTTGATTGACCTCTTCTTTCACTACATAATATCTAACTTTTCTTCGGGGGCTGAAAAACATATTTCAATTGTTCAAAATACAGCACTTCACACTTCATTGAATCCCGGGTAAGCGGGACTATATAAACAGCCCCTAAGCCAGTTCCCTCAAACATTTCTAACAAAGCCATTTCTAAGCATGCAAAATTCCTACTGTGATCACAGAAACTTTGATAGTGTAAACCAGTCTTTACCTGTGGATGAAGCTTCCAGAATGAACGCAATACTTCAAGGCAATGTCGCTCTTCCTCCTCATTTGTGACTACACTTCGCAATAATTTTTCAAACCTACAGGACGATATTTACACACGTAAAAACACACAAGTTGTAACAAACCTGCAGCAGACTTGTAACAATGCTGTCCAACAATTTGTCAACAGGATGTGTTCTCACTGCTTGTTCCCAGTTTGTTGACAAGTTCTCAACGGCTTGTTGACAACTTGCTACAAGCTTGTTGTGCATTCAATAGACTTGTTATAAGTTGTTCCAACAACTTGTTATCGTCCTGCAATTCAACAATTTGTCAACAAACCTTGTAGTAACTTGATAAAATAACAGCGTTGTTACAACTTGCTCACAAGCTTGCTACAAGCCTGTTGCGAACACATCTTGTTGACAAGTTGTGAGATTTTTACGTGTGTAGTTAATATAGGACGACATAGTACCACGAATGTAGATTTCAAAATCAGACAATGAAAGAAATATGTTTCATTGTTTCTTTTGGTGCACTTTCGCTAATCTACGCATACAGAAGTGCATATATCTATAGCTTCTTCAAATAAAACTCCTTATGGTAAAAGGCTTTCACCAAAGATAAACATACTTGTCTAAGGCTTTAAAAGTGTGACTGACTGATTTCGCTCCAGCTCTAAGCAAAACTTGAAAACACACATCAATCTTGAGGGAAGGAATTCGAGGGTCATCTGCAAACAAAATATTGAATATGACAAAGAGAAATATACCCAGGCAGGAATCACACTCGCAACTAGCCCGAGTATCAGACCCTGTTTTTCCCCAAGCCCGATGCTTGGCACATACCCTGGCTATAATCCATGTCTTCTTCATCCGACGGTGAGTTCGGAATATTATTGACCAACGTTAATAATTCATCCATTGGTTTCCTGGCCTTGATAGAATCTACCAGACCTTTCGCATGCTCATGACCAGGACTGGGCCCTGAAGATTCAAAACATTAGGAAAAATATCCAGTATAAATAAATGCGGAAACACTAAATCGATAAGGAATGGCCGTTACTGGACTTCTAGGAAGAACAGTTGAGAACTGATAGAGCTATCCAGTATAAATATAGTTAGTTTATTTAGGTTTCCTCCTGTAGTAACACTGGATCAATAAGAGATGATCCTTACTGGACCTCTAGGGAGAACAGTTTAGAACTGATAGAACTATCCAGTGTAAATAAAGTTAGTTTAGTTTAGGTTTCCTCCTGTAGTAACACTGGATCAATAAGAGATGATCCTTACTGGACCACTAGGAAGAACAGTTTAGAACTGATAGAGTTATCCAGTATAAATAAAGTTAGTTTAGTTTAGGTTTCCTCCTGTAGTAATACTGAATCAATAAGAGATGATCCTTACTGGACCTCTAAGGAGAACAGTTTAGAACTGATAGAACTATCCAGTATAAATAAAGTTAGTTTAGTTTAGGTTTCCTCCTGTAGTAACACTGGATCAATAAGAGATGATCCTTACTGGACCTCCAGGAGAACAGTTTAGAACTGAGACAGCTAGCCAACATGAATACAATATGGAGTGTTCTATTCTTACCTGATTTTTCCTCATATCTGTAGGAGAAGTAAGGTTTTGGAGGCACCAGAACATGAAGTGACTCTGGAACAACTTCAAGGATGAATTCGTAATATGAAGATCTAAAAATAACGAAAATCTCGTACATGAAGTCAATGTCGATGAAGAATGAATGTATTAAAAGAGAAGAAAAAAAGAGGTCAAATGAAAAAATGGTGAACATTGACGATGTTACCGTAAGCATTTTTCCAGGACTTCGATTACAAATTTTCGGTGTGGAGAGTCAGGGGATTCCTCCGTTAACGCAATCCTAAATGGCAACAAAAATATAACTCAAATCTTAAGAAGATGATGGAAACCAGTGTTTTGTTAGTACTTGCCTGTCATCCCAAGTCCATTTATACTGAAATTGACTGAAATGATAGGACAACCAGGTGATGAATCTAGAGAAACGCACGGTTATTCAGCTTTTAAATCTTGACATTTAGGGGATCAGTGCACTTAGCATTGTAGATACTGTAGACGAACAGTTATATAGCGGGCTCAGTAATTATGTACTGAAGGCTCAACAATACGGTTTCCTTACATATATAAACTAGATTATATTTATTCATCAGTGTGATAGTCGAGGTGTCGAAGTGAAGATACCAATTAATAAACGAACATATTTATAAACGTTCGACAGATACTGTATATAATATAGAAAACAACGGAAGGATTCTGATCCGATATTTAACTTAACACATGAAGCTGTGATAAGCTCAAATATTTTACTTTGTCTAACAGACGCTTTTTACGGCAAAGTTATGCGCATAACGCATTTATGGGTTAACTTGTAGAGTTGTATACAGGTACGTACAGTGTCGTGAAGATGAGCATTAACCAAGATAAATCCAAGGAAACATGAAAAACACGATCAACAAAATACTCATGAAACTTCTTACCTGTGAAGACAAGTTGTATTCATCGTATTGATTCTTTCGTACAGCAGTTCAGTTGCTTGCGCAAGCTATGTAGATTTCGTGTTAAGGCTAAATTACCTAGTACATTGTACCGAAGTCTAGTGCCTTACCATCTCATTAAAAAAGTAAATACACAAGCATGGCTAGTGGCTGAACTAACAGAGCAGATAATAAACAGATATGAATATATGACACTTTTTATGACTATATATATATATATATATATATAAAGGATACGACACCAGGTATAGTGGCTTGTTGACTTTTACAAAGATCAACGAGTAGAGAACCGTAGAACAGTTCCAACTGAGGAGAAACTGGAAGCTTAAATAAATTGCCAAATATCACCTGGAATAATAAGAGAAGAGCATGCATGACATATTTTCTGTTCGTCATTTTAAAGCCATGTTACACGAGGTAAATTTTTGCTGAAATTTGAAAATACTGGGGCCGGTACGAAAGCCGGATAGCGCTATCCACCGGAGTGATTTTTTCAAGCTTTGTTAAATCAGTCGTTGATTGGTATAACTCGTATTAAAGTTTAGTATTTATAAGTTGAATGTTTTTATACTTCTTGTGTCGTCTATATCCGTAGTTTCACAGTTTTTCAAACATTTTACAAAGGTTGAAAAAATCCCTATCCGGTGGATAGCGCTATCCGACCTTCGTACAACCTGCCCCTGGTGTTCATTTGAAGAAATGGATTGATATATACCTCTATAATGCAATACTCCAAGGGAATTTTTTCCCGCTCTGGAAACTTCATCAACTGTGAAGCACTAGGAGTTTAGAAATGCAATAAGAAAATAATGTAAACACTTTCATTTTAAATAATGTAAATATTTTCAATAATTAAATCTTCATTCAATAGACAACTTGCATGTTAGACTAATTTTTGATTTAGGCAAAAAAAGTAAATTCCCGTAAAGAACTTATTAAAATCGGTTGGTTGCGAAATGTTGTAAAATACAGAAAATATAGCCTTGCGAAGTTTGCATATTTTCAGTATGTTTGCATTACGTGCGGAAATTGTTACCATTTTTGAGCCGAAAATGGCAACAATTACCGCACGTAATATAAATATACTGAAAATATGCAAACTTCACAAGGCTATATTTTCTGTATTTTACAACATTTCGCAACCAAACTTTGCAATTTTACTGATTCATTATTTTCTTTTTAACTGTTGTGTTTGATTCCCTTCTCTTTACTTAGATTAAAATTTAGTCTAACATGCAAGTTGGCCGTTATATTCAAACAAATTTCCTGCAGCTGTTTGACATTTCCTGCGAGCTTGCGTGTTTGCCTATTTTTTCCACTCCTGGCAACAAATGAAATGCATACCATTCCTTTCTGTCCTTGTAATGTGTGTTAATAATTCTGTTCAAGCTTTCTTCCACCAAATATCTCTCAACAGAATGAGCACCAGGCATCGTGGGTCCCTCAGGCACGTCAGTGTAGTCAAACATACGAAAGACAACGTGCGGAGGAGGATATTCAACATTTTCTTCACGAGATAAGATTGGAAAGTTCGGAAGTGGGTGCTAAATGACAGCAAATAAAAAAATTCATTCATACAACCCTTTATTTCTGTATTCACTACATTTTACAACGAAATGCAATATGTTTTCTTAGAGAAAAACATCATCTTCATTGTCTGTTTGGCTGTTAAAGCTACCCAGCAGAGGTGACGTTAAATAAGACAATGTAAATCAAGTTTTTTTTCGACAAAAATGCCTTATCTAACATCATATAATGCCTTATTTTTACTTTGTCTTAGAAGACTTAGAATGTGCTGAATAACACAAATATGTAAAATTACTAATCGCTGTATGTACATTTTAATATCCAATATTTCTGCTTACTTGCAAAGCGTCTGCAAACGTTTCTGCAAATGACAAGTATGGTCTTCTGATGTGATGTTCCTGTATTAACATATTCAGATAAAAGTACAGTTCTAATTTTACATTTTCTACAGTTCCAGTTCTAATTTTTTCAATTGTAGTCATTATTTAACTTACCACCCAATTATCATTTTTGAGTTTCTGGATTTGAGCCCAAAGACAGTCAAGATACTGAGAGAATAGAAAGAACAACAAATTACTACTCATGAGGAGCCCATTGAGGCTCAATTAGCCATTCCGAAGTTGACGAGAGGACTGGAGACGAGTGCTAAAAAGTGCCCAAATTAAGAAATGAACCAAATACATGTAACTACAAAGACCACCTCAAAATTAGTAAGTATACAAAGTTTGAAGACGTTTACATGAATACCCTTCGAATAATAAGCTTTCAAAAATCGCAATATTCACTATGAAATGTACTGTGATTTGTGTTTTGGGGGATGCGCGTCCCAAAAACAATCTTTTAATCGGTAATTTCACAATTTTCGAAAGCTTATTATTCGAAGAGTATTCATGTAAACGTCTTCAAACTTTGTACACTGACTAATTTAACTGGTCTTTCTAGTGATTTGGTTCATTTCTTAATTTGGGCACTTTTTAACACTCGTCCCCAATCCACTCATCAACTTCGGAATGGCTAATTGCACCCTAATTGACAGGGTTCGAAATGTTCCTACTTTTTTTTACCAGAAAATTTTACTCAATAAGGGGAATGTGTTGCAAACATGCAATGGGTATTAAGTAATGTACCTCTTCCTGAAGATGTGGGTGATCTGATGACCACACTCTCAAACCATCCACATGAGTCTTTTGACGATTACTACAACACAAATGACCAATGATTTGGTTATTGACCTTTTAAATGGTAATGTGCCCTAATCAATAATGATCTTTATTTTAACAGGTTGACCCTATCAGCTGAGATAGCTGTTATAAACAGGGGACCTGCACATTACATTAAAAATTACAATAAAATATATTATATAATCCCTGATGCCCACTACTTTATTATTTTACTCTGTGATTAGCCAGGAAATTTTACTTGTCAAGGGGAGAGTGCTTTCACTCAATGTATTAAAATACCTCTTAAATTTAACAATACAATTTACTACAGTATGAAATTAAATGTTTTTACATTACTTTAAATAAATTTCAATTGTATTAAACAATCTTTCACAGTCTGATGCTCTTGTAGTCCATAGCTCTTTACCAGCCTGATAAAAATTGGAAGAAAAGTACAGTATACCAGGGATTTTGTCTAACAACTCTCAATGTTCTTTTATTAAGTACAGTGATATATACAGCAATGAGCTGCCATGTTGTATCAGATATATACAAACCCGAGCCAAATAAAAGTACTGTACATGGTTGTAAAGCTTACCCAAGGAAGTGATAATAAAACAGTGTGAACAAACCAGTCAGAGCGAACCTAGGATAGATAAAAAGTTGTCGTGAATATCGATTGTTGCAATAGGACTTGCTAATAAACCACATATGAGGAATTCAACAGAAATCTCACTTGTATTAGATTATCCTCCATTGTCACAGCCAAGAAATTGTCAAATAAATTCATCAACGAAGACGGAACTACAACTTTTGTGTTTACTAAGTCAGCAAGAAACCGAATCTACACAAAATAAAAATAGAGATGTTTTATTGCTCATAGCAGGAAAAATATGAAAGAAGTGCACCCATATTAATTTGAGACTTTTTCTGAGCAGGTTATTGGGAACCCTTTAAATGGCAGTGTGCCCTGACATGCCCTACTTTATCATTTGACTCTGCCTAATGCCAGACAATTTCACTCATCAAGGGGAGATTACTGCCACTCAATGGTTAATTAAATGCTTTCAACCTTACTGTATATATTTACGAAGAAATTTTAAAGGTTATGGAAGGTTGAAGTTCTTTTATATTTTTCTAGTAGTTGCATGATCTACGAGTTCCCTCTCAGTTAAAGGCGTTTCCCTCATATGGCCGTCTTTTTTGTACTCTATATTAGTGGTACTGATTATTATATTAGCCCCACAAATCTTATAAACTAAGACATACCATTAACTGTGCTCTTTCAAATGAACCAGATTTTAAGACATTTTTCAAATCATCCACCATCAAATCAAGAAACTGTTGAAAAATGATAAGCACGTCAAAAACACAAACACTACACAGTCATAAAACTGTGATACGTTATATGGAGTATCTTCTCAATCAATAAACACATACGTCTTCACCACATTTATAGTCTTTCACATTGAGCAAGCCAACAAGGGTGCTGTACACACTGATTTTATCAGGAGAGTTAGTAGCACTACAACAAAGAAAAGTGTACATATTAATTTTCTCAAGGAGTTCAGAACTTCAGACACAAACCAACTTATTGTATGACTAACAATACTATATAATAGCTCTTGACGAATACAGCTCTTGTCGTATATCAGCCATATATGACAAGAACTGTCTTCGCTATTCAAAAATCTTTGGGACTTTTTCCTTGTCTTTTTATATCATTATTAAAGCTAAAATTTTCTTTTTTTTTGGTGATCTCAAGTGGTTTTTGTGCTATAATCTTAGTAGTTTTTGCTACTCGATGTATATGAGCTGATATACTATATGGCAACTAGCTCAACCAATCAGACTGCAGAATAGCTCATATATAGTAGATGACTATATTATAATACTACATATACCAACACACTGGACACACATATAACAACACTGAAGTTTGTGAACATGACTCACCATGTACAAATAATTTTTAAAATCCTTTCTTTATAGTTTGGCAGGTCTGCTTCCAACACATTCGCCAGTTGTTGCAAATTATTTTCCAGGGATGCAGAGCTCTGCACACAAGAGATGAATGTTATTAACGCATTGAACTGCAATGCGCCCTGATGGACCTAATTACGTTATTATTTTACTCTGTCTAGCACCAGACAACTTCACTCGTCAAGGAGAGAGGTTTCCGTAGTAATGGGTTAAACATGAATTGGTCGTGACAGTTGAATATCTAACATTTTCTGGTTCGCTATGCTTGTAAATGAATATAAATTGTACGTTTCAATTCAAAAAAGTTCGAAAGATGCAAAATTTTGGGCAATGTTTATATCTGGGGGTCCCCCTTTGTTATGAGCAGAACTGATGCGCAGAACGGAGTGGACATCATCTTTAAATTATAGACCTTTTCTCCAACTCTGTTGATCAATGACTCCAGTTTATCCTCAACATCATTGAGATCAACTTTGCGTCTTTTCCTGTTTCTTCCTAAAAATCGATTGACAAATATTTCAATGAACAACCACCTTGAGAGGGTTCGTGTATTTGTGGTAGATGGGTTTTTGCAAATTTATATAGCATTTCCACAAAATGGAGCAGTTGGGAACAAAATGGAACACTACAAGCAGGAACTGAATCTGTGGCCCCGCAATTCCAGTGCAACACTCTAACCAACTGAGCTGCAGAGTCCAGTTGCTGAGCATTAACCACAAATTCATGTATATAGATAAATAGCGAGATTTTGGGGCACCTCTTGTGATAAAACTAACCCACAGAAATCCCATCTATTATAGTGTGTTCTATCAAACACCATTTTAAAATTTAAATACTCATGCAGATAAAGATTTTTCATAAAAAATCCAACCACAATTTATCAAAACATACGTAGAAGCAGCACAACTAGCATATTTGCAAGTATACAAACAGCAAAACAAGCAGAAACACATATTGACAACATAATTTCAAAGTAATGAAATGATCAAATTTCAATAATTTCAAATCAAATATCTTACCGTCATCACGGTCTCTGTCTTCATAACGCTTTCTGGACATCGTTCCCCTTTGCAAAATACTTTATTTCGACGAAAACAGCTGGAATTTTAACGCTAACACAAAATAAAATTCAGAAATTATAAATTTTCGCTCCTTTTTATTCCAAAGAGCAAAGTTGAAAAGAAATGAGCCCGTGGAATTAGTTGACGCTTGATATACTTCATGTTGCTTGCAATGAAGAGGGTTTTGCAAAGTGGATCGTTTTAACAAATAAGACGCCATCTTAGACCGTGTTTCATTGTGGTAGTAGTCATTGTTTAAAAGCCGCATTTTTTTCATATAAACAATTTCTTGGAAAATAAGAGTGTATGATAAGTTCCAGTAAGCGTCACGGAGGCAGCAGATTGAATTAAGTGTCGACATTTATCGGAGCAAAAAAATTGAACTGCATCTTTCAATTCTACCACTTCTGCTTATTTGCCTCCAAAAACAAAACTACTTACTTCCTCACCCTGATAACTGCAGGTTGACCTCCATCTGTTGACCGATAATGCTTAATCAAATATATCAATTAACTGTCCTGGATATCTTTGAAAATATCGATTGAAATAATGATCCAACATTGGCAGAAAGGGAATTCTAATATGAAGTCCAATTTTACAAAATTTAGCTATTAACTCATTGTTTCAAGCAATATAATTTGATCATATACCAGTAATACCACAGAAGAAAAGTTCCAACAATAAAACAAATCGGTTAAAACATTGGATTTACACTGTATTCCAAGTATCCTGTGAAAACAAATATATACTTTACTTAAGTACGACAGTGCAAGTTAAAATCACGCTAGCATTGTGTTCAGTTAGCTAGCTTTGTGCTCTATATGCAGTATATCCTACCTATAACTACAAGAGTCTGTAATCTAAATAAACTCAACGTTTCTAAGATTTGACAACAAACTCATGGTTCCTGTCGAGACCCTGTAAAGATTACCGACCCTTTCACTTATTTTACCCTGCTTGTCATAAACTTGTAAAGTTCAAAGCTTCGTTGCGCTATCATTAAAGCCTGCTTCCTGCTCATGCGTTTTCACCAGGCACGGAAAACCTCAAACCGTGCTAAATAATACACATCTCTTAATTTAATACACCCTTCCAGAAATTACTTGGCCATGGCTATAGGGTAATGTCCGTAAGGTAATGGGATTTAAAACCAATATCTCCATCACGAAATCAAGGTTCTATAGCCAAGACTGAGCATTTTCTGGAAAGGTGTATTGCTTGAACCAATACACACTAACTCGTACAGACCACAAAATGCTGTGTTTACACGGATTTTTTCCCTGCCTGTACATTCATGATGAAAATGCATGACTAGAAAGCAACCTTTGTAGTGCTCAGTCCTAGTGCCCTAAACCTCGGTACGATCATACGGGCCCGATTGCAGGCCTAACAACGGAGATTCCACGCACTCCCTTTTACTCAGGCGGGACACATCCTGGTTCCCATTTTCATCTTTCAAGAGGCGACTCACATCCGGCAAGTTTTCTTCCGGTTTGAATAAAATCACATAAATCTTTGGCAAAAATACGGTGACGAAAAAGTTCACTCCAATGAGGTAAGCCATTGCGCACAAAACTCGTATTTTCTTCTTTCCATTTATGCCAAATACCGCGACGAAGTAGACAAAGATTAAAGTATACATTAGGTATATTCCGAACGACACAAACTTCACTTCGTTTTGGTTGAGAGGCGAGCATTCTTCGCTCATATGGAGAATATTAAAAGCCATTATCAAAGCGAGGATAAAAAACACGAGGGGCAAAAACGCCGGTCGGGAATGCGACGCACATTCGATATATTCCACATCCGGTTCAGGGGAGGCCAAGGTTAAAACTTCTGCAGGGGCGACAGCGAGGACAATCACAACCACGATAAGTTGTAGGATAATAAGCACGAAGCTTATTACGGTCTGGGGACTACAGCGAAACCATTTACGTTTCAATTCGCCATCATCACCATAGCAATAATTGAGTACAACGTGACTGCGGGCAATCAAAAATGTCAGCGGTATTCCCAACGAGAACATGAACATAGCGTTGTACGCCCCGCAGGCACTCCGGGTGGGTTTCATCAGAAGTAGTATAGGCAACACGAAGGTGACAAACAGGGATAACAGGAGAGGGAGGGAGGCACTTTTGGATCTCAGGAACACGGGGGTATTTGCTTTTTTCACATAGATGTTCACTGCGTAAACCAGAAAACAAATTGTAAATGCCAAGAGAAAAATCATTACCAGACTGAACGGATCGTGCCATTTTAAGTAATCGATATAAGGCGGTTGACATTTGCTTTGATCCAAAGTGGGTTTAGTTCCGATCGGGCATTTGACACAGCGGGTACTGTTCATGTATGAGGACACAGTTCCGGGAACACAAGCCCGGCAATCCCAGCAACATTTTCTTGCCCCGTCCCAAACCTCTCGCCATGTCCCCGGTGGACAATCCTTTGAACATCTTTCATCCGGGCTCTTATTCTTCCAAGCAATCGTATCAGTTAGCGTAACTTTCATTTGGGGAGCAAATTCTATTTTACCAACTTTTACGAATTTATTATCTCGGATATTTAGAACGTCGTACATTATCTCATTTCTCGTCAAATCGTCCGCATCGAAGCTCACTACTCGACCGGTAACACTTGTAACTTGAATTCCAGTTAAACCTGTTTTTGAGCCAGTTTGGCGGGATTTGACCACGGCATATACTGCGTCAATTACTGAAGCGCCCTGATGGATATTCTGACTTATCACTTGATCTTTATGGCTAGCGCACTGTTCAACTGTCATATTTGAACAATATGTTTCCATCAGAGCATTTTCAAGTAATTCCGAAGTTTTGAGGTATTTTTCAAAATCATTTAAATTCCCATAGTTCCTTCGGATGCCAACGACGCCCGCCATGTTGGTTTCCCAGTGACGTTTTCCTATCGATACTTCATGTCCTAATATTATATTCCAGTCAGATAAATTATAGCTGGGTAACTCGTCGATAACCGCCGAAATCTCACCTTTGGAGAACAAAAGTGCAACAGGACTGTTCTTTTTTCCACGTTTTACCCATTTGAAATCGCTATTCATAAACGAAAGCTCGTTGAGAAGGCATACGTCGCTGTCTTTGCTTAATTCTTTGAAGTTTTCCAAACCACTAACATCATTGTAGCTAACGATATCAAGGATATTCCAATTAAAGTCTTGCACTAAACCGAAAATGGCGCGTTGTGGGGTGTTTTCCTCGGGGCTCATGGAGTACGCATTACCCCAAACTTGTGGACGATATTTCAAGCTTATTAAAGACATATTCTTGCCTCCGTTTCGTCGCTCAGTTGCAAGGGAGTAAAACTGACGAGCGTCAGTCAAGTCCGTTATAATAGCAATAGGAACACGGGACAGATTTTTCCCACCCGGAAACCACCTTTTTACGTCGAAATCAGAGCACGTATCTATAACCTCATACCCTATTTTTAGCCCATCGCCTTCGGTGGTCAATCGGTTCGTAGCGTAGACTAACGCTTCGACTTTAATGACACTCACAAGATCACGCTTCGCGCATTTGGAGTCACCGGACTGGTTCACAGGAAGTAGCTGGCCAATGATGACGTCACCAGGTTGGTATATGATGGAAGCAAAGATTGGAACGAGGTTTAAAAGTAGCACAAACGCGGATACCTGTTTTGAGGTCATGTTTTGTCGTAGTTATTGTAGGATTCTACAGTTGAATTGAACACTCAGGTTTTACCTCTAGAAGAAATGAAAAATTACATTCGTCATCTTCGACCATTTTAAACTGTAGCATTCTGGGGTCGGTATTCAAAGGTGGGTTAGCGCTAACCCTGGGTTAAAATTTAACCTGCTGTTTTAGTTTTTGTATTTCTGCACGTCTGATTACTTCACTGAAAACCGGCTTCAGAGAAGTGAACTCCTATCGATCCAGACAAGATTTCTGAAGAAATATTTACAAATTTATAAACAGCTGTCAGGAAGTTTGATTTGGATTTTAGGTTAACCTAGGGTTAAGTAGTCTGCGTGCAGTCCTACTTCCTTTGGGAGTCTGGGACTGCACGCAGGCTAAGGGGCTAATCGGCTTTCGAACAACCGGCCCAGAATATTAAACATTACCTGTAAATAAAAGGCAACTGCAAAGGATAAACCAGATCGATTATCACTCACTAATGATTAATAAAACTGCACGCAATATAATGAAAAATATATAGTACCTTAATTAAAAACACACTAAATTGGTGAAAAAAGGTCGTTAGCCTGCAGGTTTATAGCCATTGATGTTTACAGGATACAACCCCTTAATTCACACAATCGCACAGGAATATACATGAAACCTGCCGAATTCGAGTACAGACAACCGTACGAATTTCACTCCGTGAATTTCTTTTGAACCCTTGATTTAATTAATGATATATGATAGCAATCGTGTAATAATTTCTGGAAGCGTTCTCTGCGGTAGACCACAACAAATTGCGAATCAAAAATGAAGTAAGACGCATTCATCAATAGAACCGCGATTATTATAAACTATAACGCTTCTATGCGATTCATCTTTTTTAAAAAAGTCAATATACAAACGCCAAAACTCCTTTTCAATTTATTCAAGTTTTCATTTGATCATTTCAATTACATTTTCATCACGTCTTTGATTTGAAGTCACAAAAATAGAAGATTTTGGTTTTTAAAAAACATGTTTGCAATCACCACCTGTAGCGCGAATCTGCATTTTGAAGGCTTGAATAGGGAGTATAGCTGTAGAATAAATCATTATAATCTGAGCAGAACAGATCAGTTCGTGATAATTGATTATTATTATTATTTCAAATTAAAAACACAATTAAGGACAGTTATAAAATGTCGCTAAATAAGGTCTGCATTCAGATATATTTACATGAATAATAACAATTTTGACTCGATGCTCCAGAATAATATATAGGAAAGCCTAAATATAAACAAAATGAGATATGTCACGCGCAACAAAAGAAACCGTTGATTAATATATAGTCTTTTTTTCTAAATTAAAAACACGAGTTTTAGACAACATCCACAGGAAACAGACGAATTAGGAAGCGTATAAAATGCGTCCGACTCTGGTTAGCTATACGTGCGGTCTGATTCGCCGTCGGTCTATGCGTCCCGTGTCAATGCAATAGCGAAGACGTACAAATTCGCACCGATTTCCATGTGAAAGGCACCTAAAATTTATTATTGCATCAAAGTAGCCGAAATCCCAACATAACGTTTATAGTTTGAAATGAAAGCTACTTTCTGTTTTATATATATAATGCACAAACTCATCAAGTACTTTCGTTGACATAAGTGTACACATTTCAAATGAAATAAATGTATTAATGTGCCTGCAGTAACCGCGCTAACACTTGAAATTAATTGCTAAATTGTTAGCCCTTAATTCCTGTTGTTCTGCTGAACGCTTTCAAATGATTTTTACTAAGTTTGTGGCTTTCCAAGCGTAGTGTGCGTTAACAGGCTGAACTGTAGCCGAGGTTAGCCTTCGCGACATCTATATTTGCATACAACAGGAAAGTGTCAATCTGCCGCGAGGAAAACTCCACGCAGGAAAAAAATAAAGATTACAGCAATTTATACGCACCTTTGAGATTTCACGACCGTATATATACACACAAGATATTTTAATACTTCTTCAAATGCGAGAAACGTTGTTTTTAGTCCAGCCTAAGATTCAGAGTAGCCAACATAACAACAGCTCGACGTCTAGTGCATTATGTATGCTAAAAAACCATCAAATCTGTTCGCGATGTTATCTTGTCATCAATCTGACCCAAACACTCTTTGCAAGTATTGAATATTTCATTGGAATCACAGGTCAGGTGAATGGGAGGAGCTAGCGGGCCGCCTCGGTCGAAAACTGAACCGGTTAGAAATGTCGTGTTTTACTTGCTAAAACAAATTATATACTATAGAGTGATTTATAACACGGAAAACAGTGTGATACGGGAACATGATTTGGAAAATGATTGAAAGGAATCACTACAGCTTGCAACAGATTCTTGCAACAGAGCACACAGTTGGTTTTTAATAACGCTAGACAGGTCACTGCGTGATATATACTCACCGCTAATGACAGAACGAATATAGCTTAATTACTCACAATACAATACCATAAAAGACACATGCTTCACAAAGGATTTGGGTTAATATACAAAACAAAGTATACTGTAGTTGTTTTAAAGCTTAAAAGACAAAGAGCAAAGATTTTTTTATTGAATTTGTTTGTTTTTCGTTTTATTTACTTTATTTCATATCGCATTCATTTTCCTGACTTGTTTTCAACATACATGCAACTTCGTACACGGCACTTAGACGCATTATCAATTGGCGTACAAGCGTTAATTTTCATTTCACACAATATGACAAAACCGAAACTCGTATATATGCTGCCTTTGTAAAAATATGTTACCATATTTTGAAAAGATAACGGACAACTGTGTTTTAACAATTGAGTTTCTAATTGGAAACTGTCTATTTTGAGAACATAGTTGGCAGATCTTTTTCGAAATAAGAGACATATATTGGGTATGTTTTTTATGCATTCAGACATGTAAATTAGTTCTATCATGTGGTTCTATTAAACATTGACCATTGTCTGTATAATCTGTTTACAAACTGTTGGGCGTCTAGCTAACTCTGTGTGTTCAGTATAAACTCATTGCAGCCGATTTCCGTATTTTATCTGTTTTTAAAAAGGGTACTCTTTAATCTTCAATTGTTAAAACTAGAAAAATAACTGTGGGTAGCAATGGTGTAGCGATCGAAAGGTTTGTCCAATAAATACGTGGACGGGTGCTTTCCACAAAAAAATAAAATCGATAACAAACCAATATACAAATAGTCTATAATTGAGTATATGCAAAAATATTTTTAACAAATTATATATATCAGTAAAACGAGAAAAGCGAATATATACAACTGGTCAATCCCAGTAGCACCGCAGGATTCTATTCTAGGGGGGAGAGGACTTAATAATTTGTGGGTCACGTCACTGATTGGGGTCCGGGGACATGGTCCCCCGGGAAAAATTGAATTTTAGGTCTGGCGTGACTTACTTTATTCATTGGTTTACGGATCCGCCGACCGTAAATATTCAGAAAGTGAAAAATAAAAAAACAATTGGATGTCAACAATTTTAGTTAATTTTAGTTAATATGGGGTTCTGACATGAAGTACACACGCCAAGTAAACTTTGACTCTAAGTACTACTGGCTCATGTTATCGTTGTGACAATCTTGAAAAACAATGTTTTTTACATTTTTTTCCGACCTACAGACCTGTTTTTTTTTCAAGTAAAATCCGTAAACCAATAAATAAAAAAAGTCTCGCCTGACTCTGAAAACGCATTTCCTGCATCGTGGAAGCACTTGTAGTCTTAATAAATCGCTTTTTAACAGTTTGAACCTGATGTGAACATTCATCGGAATTGAACGAATTTGAAAAACATTAGGGGGGAGGGGCAGCTGTCCTCCTAACCCCTCTTTGGCGGCGCCACTGGTCAATCAGCCTTTCTCACGAAGGCCAAAATCCGCCATTGGGGGTAGTCTGTCTGCCTTCGTGAAAGATTCTAGACAATTCAAACAACGTGAAAAGCAAGTTTTAAAAGTTGTAACTGTAAATTTACCATTATACAAACAACTACAATACTAAAAAGTTGTATTTCGTGGTGCGGAGTCTCTCGAACAAGTTGTAACTGTAAATTGTGGGAGAGGCAGTACCCCCAAAATGGTGGAAAAATCAGCCGTGAGAAATGCTAATTGCAAATCATGCATTATGCTTATCTATCCACACAAAACTACAAATATCCATATAAAATGTTCACAAGTAACCCCGTCTATACTTAAGGTGGTCCTTCCTTGTGCTCAGGCTGATCGTCCTCGATCCCAGGCAAATCGCCAAATATCAACACTTCCCTGTCCGGGTAGAGTGGGGGACTGAACCGAATCAAATCACGGTTCAAGACAATGACATACACTTTCGGCAAGAATATGAAGAAGAGGAAATTCAAGAGATGCAACACGCCCAAAACACAAAGAAGCATCACTTTAACTTTGCCTATCACCCCATACACCACTACGATGTTCACAAAAGACAGGAGATAAAACCCAAGGAAAAATATGGCGGTAAAATGAGACTCGTACGTGTCTTCCGAAACGGTCTCGGCGCCGAAATTTTTGACGGAAAAAAAGAGCGACAAAATGATGATAAAGAAAAACGGGAATAAAAATTCTCCACCTGCGAAAGTTGAGCACTCGATATAATCAACATACGGGTCAGCAGTCTCGTAGTGCACGACATGCGCAGACAAGACTGCAATGAAGATTATGGATAAAATGATTTGGAAGACAATGAGGAAAATTGCGATCAGATTTTGTGGGCTAGAACGAAGCACTTTTCTCTTCAAACTTCCATCTTCCTCTCGGAATTTTTTGAAATAAGAATTCGAGCGAGAAATAAGGATGCACAATGGAATACCCAAAGCCTGGACGAAGCCAAATACATAAGCATTACATGAAGTAGCGCTAGGTTTGATGATAGGCAACATAGGATGGATGAGGGTGATGAAAAGCGACAAAAGAAGCGGCATTGTGGCGAGCTTCGACGTCAAAACTGTCGGACTTTGCGCCTTTTTGTGATAGAGGTTCACCAAACAGAATAAGACACAAAAGAGGGAAAGTACTAGAATGAAAATCACAATACTCAATGGGTGCTTCCACTTCAGATAATCCAAGCGAACTTCAACACATTTCAAGCCATCGTCACTCAACCTCAGTCCCTTTTCACACGCGGTCGAATTTTCCTTTTCACACGTGACACAACATTTGGCCGAGGTGGGAACTGGGGAGAGTCCTACAGGACACGTTACTAAGCAACCAGTGGTATCACGATTCAAGTCTAGTTCGACCAATGACAGTTGGGCTTTTGTGTTATCTGGGAGAGTTTGTATATTTCCAAGCAAAGTAGCTGGAGTTTTGGCGAGGTTATAAACACTATATTGTAGCTTCGATAGATCCTTATTTGCTGAAAAACAAATCTCCTTTCCAGTAGGACTTGTAAATTCAGGGGTCGCCACAATATCATCATTGCTAAGGGGTCTTTTTTTAGTGTTTTTCAACGCATGCGCGATCGTGTACACAGCGTCTATAACTTTCCCTCCGTGACGAAGTTCACCCGAGAGCTTCCCGAGTATCTCCGACAAACATGACTCGTTCCCAGGTTCTTTACATTCTCCAAACTGCGCGGACTTACGAATCATTCCGCCAAACCAACTGTCATTATTTTGAGCAGATTTGCGCAAAAATTCCTCAAATTCGTCCAAATTTGGAACGCGCTGTTTAAGAGCCAAAGTTTTTGGGAAACGTTCATCGATTTCTAAAAAGTTGCTTGCAATTATAGCATTGCGTCCTTTTAATTTCGCCGGTAGATTTGTGAGCGTTTTGATGGTATCAGAAAAGATCAAAAGCGGATATGTTTCATTGTCATTGTTGAGGGTTTGTCCCGAAATAGATTGTTCATAAAACACACGATTTTCACAAACTTCAGAGGTTTTTGTCACGTCCTTAAAATACTCGTAGTCGCTCGCATTCGCCACTAAAACATCAAAAGCTGTCCAGTTTAGTAGTTGAAGTAATGTTTCGACAGCGTTCCCGATTCGCGGTTTGCTCGGTTCGAAGATAAATGGAGTAAATGCGTCATCACGTGGGCGATGGGACCCCAGGGTAAAAACAGGAACATTTTTGGATCCGTCTAGGACCAGTCGAGTTAACAAATCTGAAAGGTCGACTATAAACGAACTTGGTTTTGGGGTTTTATATCTTTTAAACGACGTCTCTATCACATTTATCACGTTTTGAGGTGTTTTGTTGCACATATTTTCAATGTCGAGGCCGAGCGAAATCTGATCTTTGAAATTTGGATCTGAGTTTACTTTCTGGACTGCATACTCTAACGCTTGACTTTCAACGGCAGATTTAAAATGAACTTCATTCGAGCATTGCTTGGAGTCTGCAGTGCTTGTGTGAACAGGCAGTAGAGCTATGATTGTGTTGTTACCTTGACTACGAAGCAAAGAAGCGATACCTGACTCTGAACAAAATATTGTGTACAGGAAGACCGTCGGAATGACCCAGACTCTCATCTTGCAAGATTCTTAAGAAAGAAAATTAATCGTTGTTGATTTTAAAATACAAACGTTGGGTGGTACTGTGGTTAGTGCATGTAGATTCATCCCTGTGACCAGGGACAGTTGTCTGATTATCATTTCACAAAACTGGACCTCTAGGAAGAACAGTTTAGAACTGATAGAGCTATCCGGTATAAATAAAGTTAGTTTAGTTTAGGTTTTCACCTGTAGTAACACTGGATCAATGAGATGATCCTTACTGGACCTCTAGGAAGAACAGTTTAGAACTGATACAGCTATCCGGTATAAATAAAGTTAGTTTAGTTTAGGTTTCCTGCTGTAGTGACACTGGATCAATAAGAGATGGTTCTTACTGGACCTCTAGGGAGAACACTTTAGAACTGATTAGAGCTATCCAGTATAAATAAAGTTAGTTTAGTTTAGGTTTCCTCCTGTAGTGACACTGGATCAATAAGAGATGGTTCTTACTGGACATCTAGGAAGAACAGTTTAGAACTGATAGAGCTGTCCAGTAGAAATAATTATAGTTTAGTTTAGGTTTCTTCCTGTAGTAACACTGGATCAATAAGAGATGACCCTTACTGGACCTCTAGGGAGAACAGTTTAGAACTGATAGAACTATTCAGTATAAATAAAGTTAGTTTAGTTTAGGTTTCCTCCTGTAGTAACACTGGATCAATAAGAGATATGACCCTTACTGGACCTCTAGGAAGAACAGTTTAGAACTGATAGAGCTATCCAGTATAAATAATTTTAGTTTAGGTTTCCCCCTGTAGTAACACTGGATCAATAAGGAATGATCCTTACTGTACCTCTAGAACTGATAGAGCTATATCCTGTCTAAACAAACCTAGTTTAGATTTCCTCCTATAGTAGCACTGGACTAGTGAATGAAGACCTTTGCTGGACCTCTAAGGCTGGAGAACAGGTTAGAACAGGCGGAACTATTCAATATCATGGCTGGCAGAAAACAGTCTCAAATATATTATTTTCTAGAAATCTAGATATCACGACTATATCAATGCTTGCATAGACGAAGACCTGTCTATTTTGTTTCTGTTCTTAACTCAGTCCAAAGAAGGTTTTCCCGAAAACAAACTCGCAATTTCTACAAAAACCATCATGTCTAATACAAACCAAAATGTTGTCCTTGCATTTTTCGTCAAATTATCGAACAACTAACGAACATGATTTTATTTCATAAAGATAATTTCAGCCAAAACTAATTTTAGTAAGCCACAGGATTTATCTGTTACACTCTAAAGCCAGAAATTAACAAAACGAGACCTTATCCTATTTGTAATAAAACCATAATGCACTTCTGATTATCGTTTACTCACCTCAAACGCGCTTCGTGCGTCCCAGAATTTTGTGTCCGCAACAGATTCGACTAAAAGCAAGATAGAGCTACGTTGGGCAAAGTTCGGTATCTGAGATAAGTTGATTAAATTTCACAGTATGTCTTCGCAACAATCGTAATCGATTGTATAATGTGAGATGTATTATCAATGCATATACAGCATTGTTTTGTCAAAGTTGAAGCCACAGGAAGCGTGGCCGCCCGTCAACAAAGATAAGCTGTCGTAAAAATCCATAACAGATACTGTAATGCAATATGTATAACGGTCTGTGTCAGTATGTATACAACTACCTGAAAAATACAAGGAGAACTTCGACGTCTCGTCTGTTTTCTGCTAACTTCCCGAAACGTCGAAGTTCTCCTTGTCTTTTTCAGGTAGTTGTATTCCTATCAATCCGAAGCTTTGTAATACTTTTTTAAGGTCTTGTTTACTCAGGTTCAAAGCTAGCTTACTGCATTATTCAGGTTTGTGAATATGGTTACAGCTAGTGTCAATGGTAATTACTCCTCGCATATTTATGGCAGAGTTTGTTCATTCAACCTGTGTATAGCCTACATCCTCGTAGAATCGAGCTATACTATAGTCTGTGACGTATTAACAAGCTTTCATTCGTAGGGATGCAACTAACTGAAAAATACAAGGAGAATTTCGACGTTTCGAGCGAAGGCCCTTCGTCTGGAGTAACCAGCGGGGGTCCACTCCACTCCTTCGCTGAAACGTAGAAATTCTCTTTATATTTTCCAGGTAGTTGCATTCCTAGCAATGAAAGCTTGTTCATATTATTGACACTATACTATATCTACACTGGCAGAAACAGTTCAAGCTAGTCTGTGACGTATGCTACCTCTGTGACCGTGGTCTAATACAATATGCATGCAGTTGTCATAATTTAACCTCAATCGCATGCGATAAGGAGGCCTTTAGTTTGACTCTCACAAACAAACCACTCTTGGAATAACATTGGATCAATAACGAGCGATCTTTACTTAAAGCTATTCAGTGTAAATAAAGTTAGTTTAGTTCAGGTTTCTTCCTGTAGTAACACTGGATCAATAAAGATAGTTCTTGCTACACGGCTAAAAACGCACAGGTTGTTGCAAGTTGATATCGACAGGCGTGAACAATGTTGTGCGGCCAACTATGAACAAGTTGTCAACCATGTTGTTCCAAGTTTTTACAGTTGAACAATGCTGTAACAACATGTTGACAATACTGTTCATAGTGGGCCGCACAACCTTGTTCACGCCTGTTGAGATCAACCTGGAACAAGTTGTTGATTTTCTCAATTTTTACGCGTGTAGACGTCAAGCGAGGACGGTTTGGAACTAATAAAGCTATCTTGTGTAAATAAAGCTAGTTTAGTTAAGGTAACACTGGATCAATAAAAGATGATCCAAATTACTGGACCTCTAGGGAGAACAATTTGGAACTAATAAAGCTATCTTGTGTGAATAAAGCTAGTTTAGTTAAGGTAACACTGGATCGCCCTTACTGGACCTCTACGGCGTCTAGGAAGAATAATTTCGAAAGAACTGACATAACTACACTTGTGGCTATCCGCGCAAAAGGGCGGAACCGCCCGTGTTAAAATGAATAAAACAAGACAACATAAATTTAACTATATAAAAACAATTTTTCCATTTATTCAAAAATCAAAATTACAAGTACATAATGAATACAATTCACACATTTCTCTAATACAAGTCCCGTTTTAAGCAACATAACAACATGTAGCACCCGTGACAACAGGCTTGTCCTCACTGTGAGATGAAGTACAATCACACGTGCATCCATTATCTTTGATCCAGGCTTTACCGTTGCAATTCAAATGACATGAACATCCCATGGGGAATTGGGTGGAGGCGCATTCGTGACGGAGACCGCTTGTCGTCGCGAAGGTACATTGTAATGTTTTCACAGCACCATCGGCTCCATCTGCACCTGTTGCCCCAGCGGGTCCTACAGAAATGAGAAAGTTTGATAATATTTAATTATTTAATGACCGCTGTTCCCTGGATAGCTAATGCTACATTTACAACGTCCCTAAATGTACTATTTACAACATATACAAGACATACAAATTTGAGCTGAAGGAGAGAGTTTGTATATCCGCGATACAAAACGGACACGAATGTTGTAAATGGCTTGTGAAACGTCTTGATGAGAACATTCGTATTCTTCAACAATTTAAAATAAATTAATGATATTTGGTGAGAAAATTAAACTTAAAGTTTATGTAAATCAGCAGGTATACAAACAGATATATAATCAGATATACAAACTCCTTCACGCTCATGATTTCTTTTGTTTTCTTCAGTGAATTATTCACAAAATATAACTAACATTGGCACAGTATTACAAAATATAAGTACAACATGACAACACGTTAGAACTTACAACGAGACAAATATTTTACACAACATGACGTACCTGGGTTACCAATAGCACCATCAGCAGCATCATTTCCAGAAGGGCCAGTACGACCTCGAGGTCCAGGGGGTCCGGTGAGACCTACCCCACCATCGGCACCAGCAGCTCCTTTCAGACCATCGGCTCCATCTACACCAGCAGGGCCAGCTGGACCTGGATATCCCTTGAGTCCAGGGTTACCTGTGGCTCCGGCTGCACCACGAGCACCTCGGTTACCAGCGTTACCAGGATCCCCGTTTGGGCCAACGTTACCAGCGACACCATTTACGCCGGGATCACCAGGACCGCCAGTCTCACCAGGCGTACCTGGTGGACCCGTATCACCTGTATCACCCTTATCGCCCCTATCACCACTGAAACCATCAAAGCCATTAAAACCATTCGCACCATTGTTGCCTGGGTTACCCTTGAAACCTTTAGGACCGACAGCACCAGTCTGTCCTCTGGCACCAGCAGGACCTTCAACACCATCAGCACCATGTTCACCTGCCTGTCCTCGAACACCTTGGAAACCTGGAATAATGGTGATTCTGTTAGTATGATGGTCATGTCCTATCTGTCAGTGGTGGTTACCTATTACATCACCTAACATGGAATAAAATGTAACAATTACGAGAAGGACAAGGAACTCAAATAATCTTATGCATGAACAGGACATCACTCCAGTTAAACATTAAGCTCACCTTTAGGTCCCGGGGCACCGGGATCTCCATTAGGACCAATCATGCCAGGCTCACCATCCGCCCCATGTAGACCATCATCACCACGTTCACCTCTATCCCCAGTTGAACCAGTTACCCCATTTGCCCCAGGTCCCCTATCACCTGTGTCCCCATCCTGACCCGTAGGTCCTTGTGGTCCTCGAGGTCCTTGGGGTCCCTCTGGACCGGGATCACCAGATGGTCCAGCAGGGCCAACAGGACCACGTTCACCTAGGATTAATTAATATGTTAATTAGTACGTTAATTAGTAGGTTAATTAGCCAATTAAAGAGTTTGCTGACACTATTTGAAATCAATCAGTAACTGATGTTCAGATGGAATAAATTGATCAGAAAAGAAAGACATACTGACCTTTTAAGAAGATGGTTATTTTGTAAATGTCATCATTTGACGGCTGTAACAGCGTTACTAGGTTGGCTACAATGGGAGAGAAATAACATTTACAATATTATTGCAACAGTTTTACGAAATAATTGCTTTCCTGTTAAATGGCTTTTAAAATAATGTGAACAAGCTTTCATTGGTAGGAATGCAACTACCTGAAAAAATATAAGGAGAATTTCGACGATTCGAGCGAAGGCCCTTCGTCTGAAGTTACCAGCGAGTAACTCCAGACAATTAGGGTCTTCGCTCGAAACATCGAAATTCTCCTTATATTTTTTCAGGTAGTTGTATCCCTACCAATGAAAGCTTGTTCAAATTATTGACACTACCTACACTGGCACACAGTTTAAGATTTTAAAATACTGGTTCGTCTGAGAAGCTTTCTACCATATACTCAAACTTGTTCACTATAGTACTATACGTAGTGATGTCAACACACTTTTTGGCAGGGATGGATTTCCTGGGGGTACAGGGGAGGGGGAGGGATCCATCGTTTGAAAACATCAAACTTCTCTTCCGACTCTTCCCGTCTGTTTATATATTACGTGAGGGAACAAAAATTCGTGATTGCAATTTGCAAAGCTTTAATCGAAATATATTGTTGTTCTAATATGTTGTGTGGGAATTTAATAGAAAAATAGTAATTTTCGATGTTGGCTTTCGATTTTAAGCATCGAAATGACGCAACAGCAATATATACCAAAACAATTTGTACTGTTTTGACCATCCTAAATAATCATCCATTACTTTGTGTTTAAACTTGCATGCTGTCCAGCATAACTGGGATAGTGTTGTTGAGAAGGGGAAAGTATAGCATAAAACTCACCGTCAAACGCTGTTTTGTGTGCATCTACAAGAAAAATTCATAGAGATGTTTGTGATATAGAAAAGTGAATTGAAAACAATATAGAAAAGCGAAATTGATTGCTTATAAACGAATTAATTTATCTTAATTGTGACATAATGTATCAATTAAATCATAATGTATCAATTAGGTACAAAATTAATTTAAAGGGTATAAAATTAATTTATGTTCACTCTGGCGACATGCAATTAAAATTATTGATGTGAAATAATATCTTTTCACTAAACTAAACCTGAATTTGTTCTCAGTGTAGGTCTTGATGATCTACAATACATATCCTTTGTGCTGGATGCTCACATGAACCAAACGTTCGCAATAGTCTTCACAAAATATCTTACAACTTGGGACAAAACAGCCGTTAGCTTTAATCAACAGTTGGCTGGTGAGAATCTACCAAAAACGACGTGTATTTCAAGACCACTATACCTACATGGAGCACTAACTGTTTAATGTTCAGACTAGTGAGCATCTATCACAAACAACGTGTATTTCAAGACCACTACCCCACATTGAACACTAGCTGTTTGAAGTTTAGACGTGTGAGAATCTACCACAAAGGACGTGTATTTCACGACCTTGACATTCCCTGAGACGTGTTTGAAGTTACATGCAAAGCAATATCAATTCGGCAATAACAAATCATAATCTTAACTTAATACGTTTAAAGGTAGTATAAGACTATATATTTAAATATATATAAATTATATAATATATTATAATAAATTGCTTACCTGAAATGCATGTAAAAGCGAAGACACAAAGTGCCAGCACAGATAGGGACTTCATATTCACAGGCCGTATATCACACTTAGTGTTGCGACTGTGTTAAAGTTGGCTTTTATATAGGACGCTGTATAGTGAAGCACCTTAACTCGTCCCTCATTGGTCGAAGGAAAAACTAAGAATATTGAGTGGGATAAATAGTTTGGTTGCCAAGTTCGTTAACATGGTATTATCAAGTACTCTCACAGGAAAAGTATTGACATGCCACCTTAAGTAAAAGCCGCACGCCTACCCCCTAACACCACATTCTCTTCAACTGGCCTAAAACAGCAAGAGAAGCAAGCCGCCTTTACTGAAGTGCAATCAATTGCCTTAAAAATCTGACCGAATTTCTTGCAAAAATTTACAGTTTTCTTTTAAAGTCCAAAAGCATCACGTCTAGAAAAGCGTTGCTATTCATTTTGAGCTATAAAAAGTTTTTGAAAGAGACTTTCACAAAATCGTTTTTCGAGCGAGGTCAAGGATTTTTGGAGGATGTACTTGAAATAAATCTTAAAGAAAAGTGCTCCTTGACCTTTTTCCAATTAGCATTTGATTTGTTCTAATGAGCTAATGTCAAAAACTAATGATAATTTAATGCTAAGCAACACTATCAGTGAGTTGAAACCAACACTGGAATGCTGGTCTAGAATAAGGCCAATATTGAACTTCAATAACACAAAACGTGTTCGTGATTCTGCCTGCAAATGATCTTATATTTGCTTTAATATGGAATAAAATAACTTATTTAGGCTTGCACACACTATTTTGCTTCATCGTAACGTATATTAGTTCTTAAATTTTTAGTTCAAATGGAGAAAATATATGTATGAGCTCTTTTAAAAAAATAAAAGCATTTTTAAGCCAAATAAGGAATAGCCTAAATGGCTAAATAAGTGGACTACTTAAAACTCGTTTATTTAATGTACATTTACTGCCTATTAAATCTACATTAATATGTTTTGTTCAAGATACAATTGAATATTGTCCATTAAATATAATAATCTATTTACAATAAATAAATAAATTGTAAAATGCACATCTAAGAAAAATTACTAACCTAACGTTTTAACATATAAAATACGATTTAGTTCTTTTCGTATAAACTGAAAAATATCTCAAAACGGAAAACTTTTAAAACGATAAACAAAATTGAAATCGATATGTATACATATAATGGTTTTCAAGTTCACAGTTAGTAAGCCAGCCTGCTTTATACATCGTGCTACGAGTGAACCGATTGGCTAATTAGTTCAGTCACACCACGGTGTACAAATCACATTGGTTTGTTGCCTGAAGTGGCTCACTCAGCGAAGGCGTGCCAAACGCTCATAGCACGGTTACAAGCACGCCCTTGATTTAAAGCATATAGCGCCGAACGATACTATAATTGCATATAATTTATTTCTCTCGTAACCAGGCTTTTTAGCTCTACCTTAAAAATTGGTTCGCTCATGCAGATACGTCATGTTAAACGCATCAGAATGCGTTCTATTAATGTGGCGGCGACAATTTGAAAATTGTTTCGATGCGGTCATAACACGCCGTATAAACCAGGCCTAAGTAGTTCCTTATTGGTTCGTTACATCATCAAACTCATGACTCAAATGGTAATGGTGGGTGTCAATGAATGATATTTTCTCACTCTGCTAACTGCAGGCTGACAATCATCTGCTGCGCGATAGTGCTTTGTGAGCTAGAGCCGACAATTGCGTGCATGTTTTGAGGCTGTGGAAGGTTCTTGGTATCTATGTTTCTAGCAACTATCAAAAGAAGAGCGTCGTTTAAGATATAAATATAACAAACGCCTTTATTCCTGTGCTAGTACTTTCTTGCTAATGTTTCCTTTAACGTTTAAAGCTTTTGTCTTATGCTTCTAGCGTTTCATATTTAACACAAGACATTTTTCCGCAGCTTATCCATTGCTATGGAAGCCCTACGCCCAAAAAAATGACGCTTTCTCTCTGTCACGACTCCCTCGGGACTTAATCAATTATATTACACGAAAATTCAAACAAAGAATGAAAGCCTGAGGTTTTTTTATTAAAAAAAAATTCAAAGAAACTTCAAAAAATAGCTTTTATCGGATGTTACTTGCAAAGAATTTGCAACTAGGGAAGTTTATTCTTGAATGTGTTAATGTCTCAGGAAATGCATGTATAGAGTTTCCTTTCAATTTAATTAATGAAATTTAAAAGAAATTGCATGCAGCACGGTTCAGCACCATTGATCAACATAAAATTAGTTTAGTCATGCTATTTTTCACACGCGATCTATTTAATATTTGGTTCAAATCCACATTTTTTTATACGACCACATAAGTATAGTAAACAAACAGTTTTTAAATATAAGTTATCCTAGACTATGATGTTGTACAGAATTCACTGCTGAATTTTAGCATGGTCATACAGTCATACAGAGGTAGTACATGCTCTTCAATGTGAGCCACCTTAAAGACAGAACTCACTGTTGAGTTAAGCATGGTTAGATCATGCAGAGATAGTACATGTTCTTGAATGTCAGCTATCCTAAAGTGATCTGATGTTGTACACAACTCACTGCTGAGCCAAATCTATCCTGCGACTATGTCCTATTTTCCAACTGAGTTGGCTGATGATTCATCAACAAACTTTTGCAGGGGGGGGGGGGGCACCAATCAACATTCATCATCTGTCAAACCGGACATAAATGACCTATAGACTTATTGTTTGAGCCAATATTAATGAAAACTTAAGAGTTTAAAAACATATTATATGATCTTTTGTACATAATTGTATAAGCGTTATAATGTATTTTTTTTTATTATCTTTGAAAAGCCCTCTCGGGAAAAGATAATGAATTTGAATGTACATACATTGATAAAGAGCAATGACGAATATCACTGAATATATATATCAATAAAGTATAAAAGCGAAAAATGAAAATATCTTGAAACCCAAGATGTGGAGTGAAAAAACTTGAATTGAATTGTCTGCTGATTGTAGTTTTTGGACGGATATGTTAATGTATCGAGGAGAAGGGGTAGAATACCCTGTCATAAATGTCGCAAAAACTGCCCCCTATGCCAAGTTGGAGGGACGAGGCATAGTTTCTGCTATTTTTACGACAGGATGCTACGCCTCAGGGTTCGTGCGAATCTATCAAACAGTTTGGGTATCATATTACAAATGATTTCCGCACGGAAAGAACTTAATATCATTTTATGTCCATATCCTGCATAATAATTATGTGTAAATATAATAGAGCGGGTATAATTACATTATTGTGGGATGATTTCGTTTTTCCTTCCTTTTCCGTGGTTGGAAATGCATAAAAACCACTGCGATACAATATTATATAATTTTTTATTAATTGCTCATATTTTGTGTGGGTGTGTGAAATATAGGGTGCCCTTGAATAAACCCGATTTCAGAGCTACAATGGCGATGTTCACAAGAGAACATTTCAAAACACCATGAATGGTAATTAATTAAACTATATATAAATCATTATTTTTGCCAATTTACTATTTAGGAAATTTATAATTTTGCAATAATGGTTGTAAAGAGTTGAGCTTGTCCATGAATGGTTTGAACATGATACATGTTGGAAAAGTAGTTTTGTTCTTGTGCAGTGTGGTCATCGCCACAGACATGCGAGTAAAAAGATTCAGAAACAGTCGGATGTTAAAAAATAGAACAACTTATGAAATAAACGAATTCCTTATGTAAACAAGTTATATCTACTTCTGGTGGTAACGGAAGTTAGAAATGCGACTGCTTGTCGCTAATTTGCATTTTCGTTATGTATTTTTACGGAGTTATATTTATACACGTGACATTATCTTCCAAATTTGATTGGATGAAACGTTCACTAATTATTCATGATATAGCAAGGACGGTTCAAAGGCTGTACAATGCAATTTTTAGCCAGTTCACACTCAATTTTTCAGTTAATTCTTTTGAATGGCTATCACCAGACGGTTTTACATGTGACTGGGCCACGTCTAGGGGCTACTGAGGCAAACGAGTAAGGTCTGCTGGCATGTTTGAGTTTCTTTGAGGAATATAATTGAACTGATCTAGCCTTTGAAAAATGTAGCTTTTGCACAAGGATATAATATTGTGTTGCTTTATGGTAAACAGTATGTTTATGTCTCTGACAAAGTTCTCAACCCCGGTACGGCAAGACATTGAACTTAAATGGAACAGTGTTAGAGTTTTGATAGGTTCTATATCCAGATTGTTGTGAGATCAGTTCTGGTCTCATAATAGACTGGGCAGTCTAGTTCAGTTCTCAGTAGATCAGTTCTGGTCTCATAATAGACTGGGCAGTCTAGTTCAGTTCTCAGTAGATCAGTTTCGGTCTCATAATAGACTGGGCAGTCTAGTTCAGTTCTCAGTAGATCAGTTTTGGTCTCATAATAGACTGGGTGGTCTAGTTCAGTTCTAGATCAGTTCTGGTCTTATAATAGACTGGGTTCAGTACTGATCTCATAATAGACTGGGTGGACCGTATCAGAAATGAAGCCAGTAAACCCAATTCACAAATTAGATAACTCACATGCCTTAGTTACGATTGTTCTAGTATACAGAAGCACAGAATAGTACCAAGGTAACTAAGCTTCACAATTATCTACACGAGTGAATGACTCTTATACATAATTCTGAGGCTTAGTGACTTTTGTCCGTTCTATGCTTCTGTAAACAACAATTACTAGTAACTAGGCTGTGAGTTATTTAAAATTGTGAGTTGGGTAGCACGGATGTAAACAACGTTAGGCAAATTTGTGTATTCGAGCGAGACTTTACGCAAGTCTGAAGTACAACAAGATACGAACAAACAAAACATTTGTTTTATAAAAGAATTTATTCAAAAATTTAAATCACAGAACATTTATTTCAACATACATAAAATGTGCAAATATAGCTAGATACACAGGGCGAACCCTTCATTTATTAGTCCACAATTCAGTTTTCCACTTGCATTCTGCAGCACATTCCTTTCGTGTGTGTATGTGGTGAGGGACAATTACAGTTACAATTGCCGTTTGTTATCACTTTATTTTGACAGGAGTAGCTACAAGCGCAGCCCATCATGGTGTACGTGCCACCGGCTGGTAAAGTATTGCAGTTAACTGATCCTCCGGGAGCTTCGACATTTTGGCAGACCATTTCTTGATCTCGTCCTGGGTAACCGTCATTTCCAGCATCACCTGGGGGACCTACAACAAAAGACAAGTTATAGATCAGTGACGTGGGAACTGGGGGTCAAAGGGGTACATATGCCCCCCTCCCTTCAATGTGCTCTTGTTCCAGTGGAGAAGCTAGTCATTGCAACTGGTCATGCTATGTTAATAAAGCAGCATCTAAATAGGATATAGACGATACATTTCTAAAAGTTTGAACAAAGCCAATCATTAAAAATATGCATAGCATGACCTGTTGCTATGACTGGCTTCGCCACTGCCTTGTCCCAAAGCGAAAACAATTGGGAAACATGCCCATTCAGTATATCAACCTACCATCAGGTCCAGGGTTGCCATCGGCACCATTATCGCCTGGATCACCACGTGGACCACGTGGTCCTGGGAAACCTGCTCTACCCCGGACACCCGGACCACCATTAGGACCAGTTGCACCAGAATTACCGTCGGCACCAGCGGGTCCTTGTGGGCCCTGTTCACCTCGTTGTCCTTGGCGTCCTTGGAGTCCAGGCTCACCCGGTTCGCCGGTTGCACCGTCTTCTCCTCGTCGACCTTGGTTGCCTGGCTCTCCATTTTCACCGGGCTTACCCGTCTGTCCTTTGGCTCCATTGTTACCCGTTGCCCCTTGTGGTCCTAAGATTAGAAATGACGCACGAATTAATGCACCATTAACATCTCTATAGCACAAATCTACACATGTGGACATGCTTAGACTATTTTATCTTTACAACAATTGTGATAGAACATTAAACTCAATGAACCAACTTGAAAAGGCAAGATCATGATGATTAATGTAGGATATATCCAATAACCCGGTTACAAAAGCCGGCAAATGAATGCATATTGGAGTTACCACGACAAATCTTCCAGTATGCTAGTAGAGGTTCTTGCAGTTTCTGGTTTTTGGTTGGAAAGGAAATTGTCTAGATCGAAAATGCTCATCAGCAGCTTCTTAATTTTGCAATAACAAGTAAGATTAGTGTATTGCCCTTCGTCTCAATAACTGCCGCTCAAAACGTGCTAGATCTCTTTAAAAGAGATTTGGTATGCTAAATCGTTCATGTTTTGTAAGAGAAAGCATTTTGCATGACTCCGAAACGAAGTTAAACACTTGAGTTATAAAGAACTTGACTGATTTAAAAATCTCTGCCCATTATAAATATCCTGGCTTCAAAACTGCCTCAGAAAGTAATAACCTACAAACCTATAGCTCCTTTAGGTCCTTTGTCACCCTTGGCTCCCTTAGCGCCATCGATGCCATTGCCACCATCAGCGCCATCGTTGCCTCTGTCTCCTTGCTGGCCCCTGTCGCCCGTATCACCTGTATCACCTTGTGGGCCAGGTCCGCCATCAGCACCATCTGTGCCAGGTAAACCTTTTGCGCCCTGTGGCCCTTGTGGACCTGAAAACACGCGAAACATGTTAGAAAACAAATTGAGTGATGCGTAAGATATAATAGCGTATCATTATATATGGTAATACTATATTGTACAGAACTCATTGCTGAGTTAAGCATGGTTAGATCACGCAGAGGTAGTACATGTTCTTGAATGTGAGCTACCTTAAAGTGATCTGATGTTGTACAGAACTCACTGCTGAATTAAGCATGGTTAGATCATGCAGAGGTAGTAGATGTTCTTGAATGTGAGCTACCTTAAAGTGATCTGATGTTGTACAGAACTCACTGCTGAGTTAAGCACGGTTAGATCATGCAAAGGTAGTAAGACAATATAATAAATTACATGAAGTATGAGCATACCTCGATCACCATCATTCCCAGGATTCCCCTGGCCACCTCGGACTCCCTTGGCTCCATCAGCTCCATTGGCGCCGTCTGGACCGGGATCCCCTCGGTTTCCTTTATCACCTCGAGGTCCTGGATATCCCTTATCACCCTTGGGTCCGGCAGGACCGGTTGGTCCCGGAGCGCCGGTGCTGCCCACTGGACCTACGTCACCTTTCTGGCCATCAGGGCCTGGGAGACCAGGTAATCCTAGCATATAATAAAAAAACAAATATTGAAGATGGTGGTCAACCTGCAGTTATCAGAGTGAGAAAATAATGTTGATTCTTTTCATTATGGAGTAGTCTTGTATTTGGAGGCAAATGAGCATTATATTTCTCAAGAGGAAACCATCGTACGGAAAAGATGAAAACACGCACTTTTCCATTCGTGTTTTAATGCTATTTCCACAACATTTTGATGGCTACCCTTGGCAACAACATAAGAACATACAAACCTTTTACGGGTGGCTTCGGCCCTTTTGTCGGTAGCGTCGAGTCCCTCTGCTTCGCAGCGAGATGAGCGGCCCTAGGTGCTCCATCTAACAGAAGATTAAAACAGCATTAAGACATGTTCAACTTACAAGTTACTCGGAGTTTCTCTAAAATACATCGTGTTTAAACTATACGCTGTACAATACAAGATGCGCATGGGCAATATTACGCCAATATAATTTAATCACGTAAGTTAATAAAAACCATTACTAACAAACTGGAGTGTCGAAACGTCGAGTCGTAAACATAATCTGTTTGGGGACTGCATTTCTTTACTGAAACTTGGCGATTAGTGAGTTGAAATCTAATACAGAGTTAGGTGTTTCTCATATGTGTGTGTGTGTGTAATATATAACGTTAAGTTGACCAAATAGTATAGTTTTGTTTACCCCTCGAAGTTGCCACTACAGTCTGTTTCATCCAATAAAGGAATCCTCAGTGACTATGGGATGAAACAGGTTGTATTGGTAAACAAAAAGAAACCATACTATTTGCTCTGTCTTGGCGATATCGAGAACCCTCTAGCATTTCGTGAACCACGCTTACAGTTAACTTGATTTATACTTCAGAAAGTTAACTTGATATTTAATATTTGATATAAAATGAATAGTTGATAAAGTTATAATATTAAGAAAAGTATAGATAATGAAAATCAATGTATATATATAGGTCTATACTATACACTTAGAGTAAAACCGACGATAATGAATGTCATAAGGTAATGGCTACATTCGCTATACTTTTACCATGTATTATACGCTATACTTCAGACATGTATCCTTTAAAAACTGTATAATTAATACTTCATATAAAATGAATAAAGTTTACTTACATGTATGAAGCACCGCAAAAGTACAGAAAAGAGCAAGGGCCAAAAATGCCTTCATGTTGCACGAAAATGTCAGAGAATAACATGAGACCGACCAAGGATTACCTTTTATATTGCATTCGCAGCGTAGGAGGAGCCAAATTGCACATTCTTGCATATTTGATCCAGTGCGAGTGTTTCTATGCAATATAGTACATCATTGACCACTCTTGCAAGATAAGTGCTTGCTCTTCAGCAAAACCAATATCATAAACTCGACTGAATCCAGGCAGTGGTGGAATGTGTTTGTGCAAGAGTAAAACGCCGGTGCTAATTTCGACAAATGTTAATTACATTTTTTCCTCATTTCAGCGTTGCCAGGTTTTCGGCTCATTTAAAGAGATAAAGAACTGATGTTTCTTTTTTCATTTAAAAAATCGAATTTTCTACAAATTTGTTGCGGTTTATTTTGCCAATACGTACACATGAAAGACTTTAATTAAAGGCCTTTGGTTAAATATTTTTCAATGATTTTTGTCTATTTTTTTTCTTATTCATCGAGAATGCACTAATCATAATCTAATCATGCTAATCTCAGTTCTATACAACATTAAATCACTTTAGGGTAGCTCACACTCAAGAACATATACCACCTCTGTATGATCTAACCATGCTTTACTTAGCAGTGCGTTCTGTACAACATCAGATCACTTTAAGGTAGCACACATTCAAGAACATGTACTACCTCTGCATAATCTAACCATGCTTAACTCAGTAGTGCCGGCGTTCTGTACAACATTAGATCACTTTATGGTAGCTCACATTCAAGAACATGTATTACCTCTGCATGGGACCGATTGTACAAAAGGCCGATAGTGATTTTTTAAGCTTTCTTGAATTGGTCGTTGACTGGTATAACCCACATTAACTTTATTTTATAATAATCCAAGTTGCCTCCTACTAATTGTGGGATCCATATCCGTATTTTTAACACCTGTTCAAGCATTTTTACAACCGACCCCATATCACTTTAGAAATAGCCCACATGAGCATACTCATGTGGGCTATTTCTAAACCTACATGCTAACCCTTACGTAACTGGGAGAGCTTCCTTTTTTTGTATATAACTGGAGTTTTGAGAGCATGCAGTGTTATAATAAAAGACAATGTCAATGTCAAATGGGGGATACCTACGCATAAATTAAAAGTTTCAAGAAATACTTGTCAAGAGAAAAATCTATATAAATTACTATAGGCCATTCGAAATTTACGTTCATTTTATACAAGTTCATTCCATTTGTTTTTGCTATTTTGAGTGTCAAAAAACTACATCTAGATTTAAAACAGATATGTTATTCGCCACAGGAAGTTATTTGTCATTATATTGTTCAATTTAAGGACTATTAACACCTAACCAGAACAATACAGTTCACTTCTGATTTAAGAATATAAATGTACAGTAGTGTCACGATATTTAAACTCACGAAACGAATTGAGCTTTTCCAAAAAACCAGCCAAATTAGGAATCTAACTTTAACCATTCTTAAATACGCCTTACAAAACAGGGGGAGGGGGGCTTGTTGATAAAATTTGTTACACTGAAGTACCAAGTACTTTAAATTTGGGAGGAGTCTAATGAGTGATGCAATTGACACCATTGTTAACGCTTTGTATAGTTCGCAATACAATGACTTGAAATGCCCTATTAAGGTATAGATATAGAAAAGATTGAAACACCAAATGATTTTGATTCAGAGTAAATTCTGTGTCCCTCTATTTAAAATCATATACAAGTTTGTAAATCTCCTATATAAATTTATTTTGCAAAACGTGTTGGGCTGCCATTCATTTAAAATCATTCAGCATCAACCAATAACTATAGTTGATACAAGGACAAGATGTTTAACACTTGATTCTAGCTATTATATCGGTATAAAATTCAAAAAATGAAACACTAGTTTCCAGGCAGTACCAAAGGATTTGCATTCTCTAATTCAATGTGCTGTATTAAAACTTTTTTTTGGAAAAAACGAGAACTATAGCATTTAAAAATAAATATTCAACAAAAACTTTAACCAAATATAGCTTATTTTTATACGATATTCTCCCACGAAACATAAAAATAGCATATTTTATCCAAATTTTCAAAAAGAAACCGCCACTTCAGGTAACCCGTAACAAATAAGTATTTTTCTTTGGGCTCAGAAATCTCATCCGCAAAAAAATCAAACAAGTCAAGACATGGAAGAATCTTTGATTTCTTTCAGGACAGGATATGATAAAGTGCTTCATGTGTTGAGGTCAAGGGCCATTCAAAGCCACTCACATACGGATATTTTTAATGGAAATTTGGAAGTTAAGGGCGGAGTTATCGAAATTTCGCGCGAACAAAGAGCGTCCAAGACATCGTCGTGCCCACGTGATGAGCATATGGTATATATAGTGAGTATTTGAGTTGGATAGCACAATTCACAGGCGGTATTGAACGACTAAACATGGCATTCCGTGTTGCATTAGTAGTTACCCTCTGGGTGGCTGCCTTCATTGGCGCACGTAAGTAATTTAAAGTTTTTACTATCATATAATGTATCAAATTATGGAGCAATTAAACTAGAGTGTTACATTTTATGGTTTCTACATTGCCCGAGATAATCCAAAGTTTTGAAAGAGATTTGAGATAGTTTCGCCCGCTATCTTCAAAGTAACGTAAAGTTTTGAGCAATTACTACCTAATGTAGGCTTATAAAATCTTCAAATACAATTAAGGTGTTTGAGTGAGTGAGGTAGATTCCTACATACACTCAAGTATAGAGATCAGACGATGAGATCAAATGCTTTTAGTAATGCTAATGTTTCATTGCTTTATTGGCATGGCGAGAATCTACCACAATAAGCTCATATATATATATAGGAGTTATTACTGTCGCTAAGCTAAAATATACGAGTAAGACGTTTTAAGCAAAACAGTACAATTTTCATAATTATCTTTAATATTACTGTATAATTATGAAAACGTTGGTTGAAATGTGTATATTGTCGAATAAAGTTGTATTATTTTGACGTTTTATTTGCCATGGGGCATAATATTAGTGTTTCCTTCGAACGAATATTGATTGACTATATACACGATTTAACTTACACAATTTAAAACATAAACAGAATAGAACCAGTTAATAAAGTTTAATGATTAAATGAAGTTTAATGTCCGGTGACACATATTTCCAATTCAATTTAATTATTTCAAACCTAACTTTGGTAACAGAATCACGGCAAGTGTATTGGAAGTTTATGTGCTCACGCATAACACTAATATGGTATATATGTTGTATTTTAGATGCCATCTCGCATGACATGAAGCAGGAATTAGACCGTGTTTCACAAGATGTCACTACGTATCCATATCATATAGGTATGTGATTGTGTCTTGATAATATAGTCAGGGCATTTTTAACAAATTACAATTACTGGGCAAAGCCTTAACAAGGGCCTTTCCCAATGCTGTTAAGCGTACAACGAGACTGTCATACGTCACACTCGGAAGCTACCGATGACCTCCTGAGGGATGGGGGTTTGTGTATATAGTTTAGTTTATGTTCATTGATGATTAAAGTACATTACTCTCATGTCTCTATGCTTATTTATCCGCATGACAAGACCATTCTGCATGTGCTGACGAAATGTGGAGATTGTATAAGTGAATATGAGCAAGCAGATCAGCGCAGTTTTCTCAGGGAAGTTGAGCATTTTTATCAATGATTGAAAGAGCTTTGTTTCGCCCACCGATATGCACAAAAATAAAATTGTCCCAAGGATTTACAAAACAACGATTTCTGGATCACGCGCGCGACACATTTAAAACCCCACGCGTTTTTATCAAGAATAAAATATTGATTGATCGGTTTTGATTCGTACTTCGCTTAGCTACCAAATAAACATTTGGCAATGCAAAAACACCGCAAAATAACACTGTACAGCATTCCCACAGTGGGTGTCTCAAACGTCGTTTATAAAATCATGATGCATGTTTCGTAGAATCAGAGATTGCTTTCCTGGAAAGTTGAAAACGTCGCCATATTTTCATTTTTTGTTTTGAGCAGTTTCCAAAATTTTTGTGCTTCAGTAGTTGATCAATACTCATTTAATATGTGTCAAAATATTATCCATATAAAGAGCTTTTAACTAAGAATCGAGGTTCTGAAATTGTTAAAACCGATTAACTATTCGAACCGAAGGAATTGTTTAATTAAAGTGAGGAAGGCAAAAGGGAATTACCGAGTCCGAGTGATTTTCAAACAGCTCTTAAAGTGCACATGACACGATACTTTCTTCCCAAATTTTATGCATCGCCATTAATGTGGTCGTCATAGTAACACGCTAGTTACCAGGTCTCTCTCTCTTGTGCAATTTTCAGTCATTTTGTATTACAAACGGGAAATTGATGCCCCAACACCCGATTGGGCTGTCAATTTCCTGTGCGTAATACAAAATGACTGAAAAACGGCAAACTTCGCAAGGCTATATTATCCGCATTTTACAACATTTCGCAACGAAACTTTGGAATATTACTAATTTTGTGATGCTCTTTCAAGCTGTGATGAAATAATTGTCTAGATCAAAATTTAGTCTATAATGCAAATGAGAACATTTCGTGTCATCTGCAAATTAAAGTGTAGAATATTCCAGTCAGACAAACCTTCCAAGTATGAGCAGCAGCGAGCGTGTAGAATCTTGAACAACTGCAACAAAAAAGAAACATTTCATCATAAGACGAGATAAAACGACATAAAACAACGACAAATAGGTACGCATTGCGTACATGTGGCTATAGTGGCAAGAGATAATAACACGCTAATCAACAGTAACTGGAAAAAAAACACCTCCTGATTTGTTTAAGGGTTTTTGTACATGGAAATTTTGAAAACTATAGCTATATTTTACAGCTAATAATATACATGGAAAAATTTCTCAATTCTGATTGGCTTAGACCACTGCAATTTTTTCGAAATACAGTTCCAAAAAATGAAACACGGTGCAAATTTCATTGACAATATTAAAGATACAGCCATTTCTAGCAGAAAATAATACAAAAAAAGTCAAACATTTACAAGTGACAAAAATAGCTGGCGTTTCTAGTAGATTTTCTGTTAACTGATTATTTATATTAAAATTAACTTTTTCGCATGTGGAAAAACCGATTGATCGTCTTTGAAAAACTGACTCGTGCACGTTTTCCCCAAATTGCACTCGAAGCCATACTATTACCTATACTAATAATAAATGTATAAAAAAATGCACTCGCAAATCCCTTCATATTTTAAAGCTGATGACAAACGGTTAATAACCCGAGCTTTCTTGTGCTATAGTCCCTAATATTCATCGTTATCCCTGAGAATCCTCTAAACTATCCTTCCAGAGAAAAAAAAACATGGACTGTATGAGAGCTTGTGTGCGAAAGTTTCTTCATTTTCAGCCTTCAAAAACAACACGAGAAAAATAATACTTTCTTAAAACTACCAAAATAACCCTGTATATCAAACTCCGAAATAACCTTATATATTAAATTTTAGATTTCAAGACATGCCCGACCTCTATCGACATTGCATACTTAGTTGATGGGTCAGATAGTATTTCTGATGGAGACTACGAATTAGAAAAAACTGTGGTCAAAGTGATGGCGTACTTCTTTGGAGTTATGAAGTTAGGAACACATGCTGGTGTGGTAAATTATGGCCAAACTGCAACCACTGCGATCAGATTCCTCGACTTCGACAATTTCAATGCGTTCAGAAATGCTGTCAAGAGTTTGGTGAAGATAGGCGGTGGAACGCGCATTGACAGGGCCTTGGAAGAAGCACATGATAATCTCTTCATGGGAGGGGGCGGAGCCCGTGCCGCGAGAAAGATCCCAAAAGTTGCTGTAAGTATTTGTTCATAAGAGGAAGATATAGATTTACCACACCACCCCCCTCCCCATCACCACCACCCCCTCTCCATTACCACCACCCCCTCTCCATCACCCCCTGAAACTCAGCCAAAAAATTTCAAAGCTCCGTAACTGGAGGAAAAATACGTGAATCGACTCAAACGTTTTTGTGAACACTGGCAGTAACGATATACCAAAAATATTCAAGGGTGGGTTGACTACAAAATTTTTGTAGTTCGCTACTACTACAGCTACTTCAAAAATATGTAGTCAGCTACAACTACTGCTACTTTTGAACAAAGGTAGTTCGCTACTGACTACAACAACTGCTTAAAAAATGTAGCGAACTATTTCGCTATTTCGCTACGCTATATTTTTTAGTTTTACTGTATTTGGAGCATCTACTAACTCAGGCTGAAATGTAACCTATAACAAATCGACTTACGAGTGGCAACAGTAAACACAAAGCAACATTTTTATAAGCACTACAGTGTTCAAGAGTGCAAATTGACTATCGAGTATTGATTTTAAGCAGACTATGTCTCAATATCATGCTATTCTATCAAGTTGCAAACAATTTTAAAAAGTAGCGAATAGCGATTCGCTGTTTGAAAAGTAGTCAACTACTTGGCTACTTTTAGGCAAAATGTAGTTCGCTATAACTACAGCTACTGTTTTAATAAAGTAGTCAAAAACTACTGACCACTTGAAAATTGTAGTAGCGAACTACAACTACTTCGCTACTACCCACCCTTGAAAATATTAAACATCCTGCATTGTACATTTAATTTTAAAATGTTGTGCCGCCAAGTGAACCCACCAGTACACTCACTGGCAGTGTTCAGCAAAGTACTCAAAATACTTACTTAAGTAAAAGTGAAAAGTAACACCTCAATTTTTACTTAAGTAGAAGTAAAAGTACTGCTTGAAAATTTTACTTAAGTAAAAGTAAAAATATTGCCTGAAAATTTTACTTAAGTAAAAGTAAAAGTAAAAGTACTGCCTGAAAATTTTACTTAAGTAAAAGAAAAGTATTGGGAAAATATACTTAAGTAAAAGTACTACTGAAATAGAATATAAATTCGCAAAGGTTTAAGCAGGAATAGAACACTCAGACGTGTAAGTAACGTGGTAAAACAACTTTATTCTTTAAATACCTTCATATATATATATTCCAGTCCACTCACCGCTTTGAGAAATACTTTTTTACTTCGCCAAAATATAACAAAAGTAACGAAGTAAAAAAGTAAATATTTACCAAAAATCGTACTTCGTTACAAGTAAAAAGTACTTCATTAAAAAAATACTTCGTTACAAGTAAATACTGATTTTTTTTACTTAAGTAAAGTAGGAAGTAAATTTACTTCGTTACTGGCTAACACTGCAGTCACTGGCAACTACTTATAGACATTTCTGAGAGTGAATACGACATTCCCTCCGTTGTCTAGGTTGTTTTCACAGATGGTGTTAGTGGCGGTCAATCGTTAGCAAATGCAGTTCAACAGCTGGTGGCCAAAGGTGTTATAGTGATCGTTATTGGCGTTGGTAAAGATATTGATATCAACGCATTGAGACAACTTACACCTCGTCCCGACCTCGTGTACACTGCTACAGATTTCTTGGATCTCTATATTAAAGCTGGATTCTTTGCCAGACAGATCTGTCAACATGCAAGTAAGTATGGTTTTTGAATGAATAATCATCATAAATTGGTAGTGATGGTCACACCATCAACACCATCACCACCAACTTCATGTCTGAAACATTTCTGCATCTTCCTTCCAACAGAGAACCGTGGAAACATCGGTCCTGACGGCCCACAAGGTCCAGACGGTGCTGGCGGTCCACAGGGTCCAGTTGGTGAAGCTGGTCGACCAGGTAACCGAGGAACCAGAGGCGGTTTCGGGCCAAAGGGATTCAAGGGAGCTCAAGGCCTAACTGGAGAAAGTGGAGCACCAGGTGTTTCAGGAGCCGATGGTAATCCAGGACCCCAGGGAAACAAGGGACCTAAAGGACAACAGGGAGGACCAGGTACGCAATTCCAAGAAGAGGATATTTTCTATCAGTTGTAACGAAGCAATGCCCGTATTTAACTACACGCAGTAAAGAATTGCCATCTTGGAAGATAACGACTTGCAATGCTTGCATTTAACTACACGCACCCACAGTAAAGAATTGTCATCTTAGAAGATAACGACTTGCAATGCTTGCATTTAACTACACAGTAAATAATTGTCATCTTAAAAGATAACAACTTGCAATGCTTGCACTTAACTACACGCACCAACAGTAAAGAATTGTCATCTTAGAAGATAACAACTTGCAATGATTGCATTTAACTACACGCACCAACAGTAAAGAATTGTCATCTTAGAAGATAACGACTTGCAATGCTTGCATTTAACTACACGCACCAACAGTAAAGAATTGTCATCTTAGAAGATAACAACTTGCAATGCTTGCATTTAACTACACGCACCAACAGTAAAGAATTGTCATCTTAGAAGATAACGACTTGCAATGCTTGCATTTAACTACACGCACCAACAGTAAAGAATTGTCATCTTAGAAGATAACAACTTGCAATGCTTGCATTTAACTACACGCACCAACAGTAAAGAATTGTCATCTTAGAAGATAACGACTTGCAATGCTTGCATTTAACTACACGCACCAACAGTAAAGAATTGTCATCTTAGAAGATAACAACTTGCAATGCTTGCATTTAACTACACGCACCAACAGTAAAGAATTGTCATCTTAGAAGATAACGACTTGCAATGCTTGCATTTAACTACACGCACCAACAGTAAAGAATTGTCATCTTAGAAGATAACAACTTGCAATGCTTGCATTTAACTACACGCACCAACAGTAAAGAATTGTCATCTTAGAAGATAACGACTTGCAATGCTTGCATTTAACTACACGCACCAACAGTAAAGAATTGTCATCTTAGAAGATAACAACTTGCAATGCTTGCATTTAACTACACGCACCAACAGTAAAGAATTGTCATCTTAGAAGATAACGACTTGCAATGCTTGCATTTAACTACACGCACCAACAGTAAAGAATTGTCATCTTAGAAGATAACAACTTGCAATGCTTGCATTTAACTACACGCACCAACAGTAAAGAATTGTCA